ATCCCCAGTAAGATTTTGTATCAAAGAAAGAATTTAAAACAAAAAAGAACTCAGTTGCTAAGAAAAACAATAATAAAAGAAAGTAAAAACAAACATTCATCAACTATTATCCAATATGAAGAAAGAAAAAAAAACTTTTATTTTTTCTTTTCTTTATAATTTTTCTGATGAATGATGATCATGAATAGTTTTTATTCTTGTATGATCATCATAAGAATTTTTCATATGTTGTTTAAGCATTTTTTCACTTTGATATTTAGAAAAAGCTTGTAATAATTCTGGACAATTTTGTTTTGCTGCTATATCAATAACACTTTCATTGTTATCATTTAACCAAGATGCATCACCTCCATGTCTTTTATCAAAAAAAACAAAATTAAATTTTATTATTTTATTATTTAATTTCTAATTAAAAAATATAAACTTACTTGAGAAGAATTCTTAATGGTTCAGCACCATCAAGTTCTAATAAACAACATTCATGTAATGCTGTATTACCTCGTCTACAAAACAAAACAAAATCAATAGTTTATCTAATTTCTTAACATTTCGAATATCAATTTTTATCTAAACAAAAAAAAAGAAAAAATACACAGTCAATCTTTGATTTCAATTGATATTAAAATCTCGATATATATATATAGAACTTACGGTCCTTTTTTATCTAATTCAGCTTTTCCATCTATAATAAGTGTTTCTAAACATTCATAATATCCATTACGTATAGCCAATTGTAGAATCGTATAACCTTCTTAATTTTTAATATTAACATCAGCTTTTTCTTTTATTAAACGTTGAACTTCTTTTAATATATCGATTTGATGTGATGATTTTTTATTATAATTATTATTTTTTTTTCAAATAATCGAATTAATGCATGAGTTGACTATTAATTATAATAGATAATTTAATAAAACAAACAAAAAAAATTATAATAAAATATTTTATTCTTACACTCTCAATATTTTCTGTAATTTCTCTTGGATATTCATCTATGTAAAAAACAAAGTTTTTTTTTGCAAAGAATATTTTTGTCTACTATCAGAATAAATTGTATTTGAATATGGTGAACTTCGTTCACTATTTATTGGATAATATTCATTTGTTTCATTAATAAAAAATGGTGATTGTGAAAGATTTTCTGGTTTACGAAATACTGTTTGTATAGTTACTTGATATTCATTTTCATGTAGAGTTGCATGAATCATATTACCCATACGTGGTTCACCTAAAAAAAATAATTAAATAATATATAAACTTTTTTAATATTAATATATAAGGTATATATATAGAGAGAATTAATATTTTAAATAATAATTATTATTCATTGTAACAAAATAAAAGTATTTGTTTATTTTAAATATTAAAGATCTTTACCAATCAATGATTGAAAATCTGGTCGATTAACTGCATAAGTTTTTAAATGAGCACAAATATGATCTAATTGTTGTCGCCAATATCCTTTTCCTGGACTTGTAGATGTTAATATTGGACGATATTCTTTCAATTCTTTTTCAGCTAATAATTTTTTATTTTGTGTTATACTTAAATCAATATCTTTTGCACTTGGATAATAAATTCTATATGTTTGTGTTGCAGCTTCTTTTTTAATTGTTGAATATGATTGATGATAATTAGTTAATGTTGTATTTGCATTAAGCCATACAGGATTAACTGAATTACGTATTAATGTCTATAGAAAACAAGAATCTTTTTTTTTTGTTTTCTTTTTATTCTTTAATTTTAATATACACTAGCAATCATTGATGATGATGAAATATTCATATCGTTTTTAAGACGTGTATCAATAATACGTAATGGTGGTTCAATAACACATCCACATGTTGAACAAAATTTTGCAAATGAATCATTATTAGTATGACATTTTGTACGTTGTATTGATGTAGATGTATGTTCAGGATATGCACCACACCAATCACAAAAACGAGCATTAAGATTATTTAAACGAAAACATTTTGAACATGTTATCATCATTGTATTTGTTTGTTTTGATATTGTTGGAATTGAAATTGAAGTTCGTTTTTCCTATTGAAATATAAATACGGAAAAAAAATAAATAAGATTTTTTTTTTTGTCTACTGGTGGTGTTGATGTTGGCATTAATACATTTTCACAAATATAACATGTTCGTAAATGTATTGGATTTGTTGATTTACAATGAGGACATAGAATTCTTGTCTAGAGAGGAACATTAAAATTTGATTAATTTTTTTGAAACCTGATTTTTGAGAAGTTGGTCGCTGTTGTGGTTCTCTGGATATTGGTGTTTCACATACAACACATGTGTTAGAATTAAATGGAATAGTAGATTTACAATTTGTACATATATTAGTCTAATTAAAGACAAATTATCCGTGTAAAATAAGATAACTACTATTCATTTGTAAAGTAATCAATACTATTATGTAGAACAATACATGATCCGTCGAAGGATATACTCTTTATCAAATTTTACAGTTCTGAAAAGTCATATACCCCCCCCCC